TGCAAGGGTTAAGCATTAAGCTACAATCTGAAAAGTGTTGGTTTGAATCTTCCAGTGACTCAGTGGGAGAAAAACCTGGCAATCTGTTTCCATAAAGATTATAGCCTAGAAAACTGTGGGGCAGTTCTCTGTCACATGGGGTTGCTATGGGTCAGAATCAACAACATATTGAAACTAAAATGGTATTTGTAGAGACAATGGAAAATTATTAAATGAATAATGCCAAATAACCACATCTAACTGATTGACTAAATCAATCTGGACTGGGGTGGAAGGAATGTTTTCTATACTTAACTCATCCAAACATAGCACGGTGCTTGTTTCCCTTTCCTAACAGTCAGGCATTCTATAAGTTGTGTGATTATCTAATAAGGGCTATATGCATCGCCTTACCTAGAATTAGTATTCAATTGCACCAAGTTCTCTATTTCTTTGCTAATTCATATTTTGTTATAGTGAATGCCTTATTTGTATATCTTTTAATATGATAATCGATTGTACAGGAAAAGTAGACAGGGTATAAATCATAAATAGAAGAAACAATTTTGAGCATTTACATTACAGGGCCCTGTTCTAAGGTATTTGTGTTTATTATCTCTTTTAGACTTCACATCAGGTATATGAAAAAAAAAAACCTCACTGCCGTCAAGATAATTTCGACTCATAGCAACCCCTCCTTGGGTTTCCAAGGAGGTATCACTATGGAAGTAGATTGTCCCATCTTCCTTCTGAGGAGTGGCTGGTGGGTTTGAACCACTAGCCTTCTGGTTAGCAGTCAAATGCCTTAGGCACTACACCACCAGAACTCCTCAGGTATATGCAGGTTAGTTGATTTCTTGAACCTCAATTTCCTTGTCTGTCAAGTGAGTGAAATAATAATAATACCTTCTTCATATACCTGATATAGGTAATAATAATAATAATACTCTGATACAGGTATATGAAGAAGGTATTATTATTATTTCACTCACTTGACAGACAAGGAAATTGAGGTTCAAGAAATCAACTAATCTGCCCAAGGTCACACCTATTAAATGGTGAAGCCTGAATTTCAAACCCAGGCAGTCTTATTGCAGAGCTGGAACAGTCAGCCCCTGTGCTAATTAATTACATGAGACTAACACTTGGAAGGAGCTCTGCTAGCGCAGTGCCTGAGGCACTTGACTGCTAACCAGAAGGCTGGTGGTTCAAACCCACCAGCCACTCTTCAGAGGGAAGGTTGGGCAATCTACTTGCATAGTGATACTGCCTCAGAAACCCAAGGAAAGGTCGTTATGAGTCGGGTCCGACTCAACTGCACATAACAACAACAACACTTGGACACCCCAAACATATCATTTCAAACTAAAAATGTTAAAATCTTAACATATCATGGCCCACCTCACTCATCCTCCTCCTAAACAGACCAGACCAACCTTATGTTGTTGTTATGTGCTAGTTGAGTTGGACCCGACTCATAACGACCTTTCCTTGGTTTCAGAGGCAGTATCACTACAGAAGTAGATTGTCCAATCTTCCTTCTGAAGAGTGTCTGGTGGGTTTGAACCGCCAGCTTTCTGATTAGCAGTCAAATGCCTTAGGCACTACGCCACCAGAGCTCCCTTATATACAATTTCAATTCTGCCACCAGCATCACAATTTTCTCAAACATTTAGGTAGAAACCTTGAATTGCCTCCGACTTCCCTCTTTTTAACCTGTATCTGGAACACCATCTGTTAGAGAAAGCAGGTGCCAAGAATTTTGGCCATGAAAAGTTTTCACTGGGGCAGGGACTACTAGTACTAGGTACCACGTTTTAATGTTTTTGTTTTAATTCAGATGATAAAAAACAGAATATGAGGAATTTTTTGAGTTATTAGTATTAGAAGCCAGTAAACTCCAAAACCAAACTCACTGCCATCTAGAAGATTATGACTCATAGTGACGCCCTTTGGGATTCCTACTCTGTAAATCTTTACGGAAGTAGATTGCCCAGTCTTCCTTCCATGGAGTGGCTGGTGGGTGTGAACCTCCAACCTTCTGGTTAGCAGTCAAATGCCTGAGGCACTACGCGATGGGAGCTCTTTAGAAGCCAGTAAGCAGTAATATTCCAGCCACTTCTCAATGAACAAGCTATTAAATAATGAGCGTGTTACTTGTTTTATTGTTGCTATAACTTGCTGTTTGGATTGTTAATGATAATGAAATGAAATTTAGGAGAAATACAATTAAACTATGGTATTTTTATTAGCCTTATTATTTTTAATTATCTTTACTTACTTCAACCCGATGGCAGAGTGGTTTTTTTTTTTTTTTTTTAACTAACTTAAACCTCCAGCCACTCCTCCAATCTATTTTGGTAGAGATACCACCGGAAACCCAAGGAGGGGTCGGTGTGAGTAGGAATGGAGTAGATGGCAGTGAGTTTGGATTTGAAAGCTCCAGATAGCTTCGAGAAATAAGATACATACTTCACAAAAGAATCCAATTAAAGTTTAATATTTACATTTCTAGCAGAAATTTATGACTATATTTACATTTGTGCAATCAGTGAATCACTTGTCCTGGGACAAGTCCAGGGTAGTGCTAATTGTAAGCCCTGGACTACTAGCCTAAAAGTTGGTGGCTCAAAGCCACTGAGAGGGATCTACGAAGACAGGCCTGGATATATGCTTTAAGATCACAGCCTCGAAAACCCTGTGGAGCAGTTCTACTCTGCAAAGTCTCCATGAGTTGGAATACACTCCAAAAAAAACTCACTGCTCTGGAGGCCATTCAACTCACAGCAACACCTCCTTGGTTTCCCAGGCAGTATCGCTAAGGAAGTAGATTGCCCAATCTTCCTTCAGAGGAACAACCAGCCTTCTGGCTAGCCATCAAATGCCTTAGGCACTAGGCCACCAGAGCTTTGGGAATATACTCCATGGCAACTAATAAGAACAAACAGGCACAGCTGAGATGCCAAGTGTAGCACAGAAAGAACTACGAATCCCAGAATGCCTTTCTTCTCATGTTTCGCGCAATCCCGGAAGACGACGTCAACCAATCCCTTCCTGGAGAGATTATGCTATCAGCCAATCAGAAGGCGAGTCAGCTCCCGAGAGTTGGTGGCGGGAGGCGCTCAGGATTTGAAACTGGAAGATTGTGGCGGCTGCCGGAGCATAGTCTGGAGATCGGTTGTTAACCCAAGACAGAGCAGATTTGTCGTAAAGAAGGCGGCGGCGCTCAGACCGGTCCGTGAAGGTGAGGGAGGTGGGCGTTAGGTTGGGCTCTTCGATTCGTCTGTCACGATAGGGGTTTGGGGGCGTGATGTGTGTTTCCGGAGGCGGTGTCTGTGAAATGCGGAGTCTGGAGATTTTGGGGCCGTTGGGCTTCGAGGCCTGGGTAGCAGCGAGGCTGAAGGGTTCTGGGCTTCGCTGAATGACTTGTCTGTAGCCTCCTGGGGATATTTTGAGTTAATAGAAGGTTTTAGCATCACAAGGGAACTGATGGGACCTGGAGTCGTTTTGGAAATCCTTTTACGGAGGATACCGACTCCTAGAGAGTTCAGTTGACTTGTATAAGTCCTCGACTAATTCCACTAATATTCTATCAGTCTCCATTTTAGTGCTACCTTTCTGATCTCGGGTGTGAGGAATCTTACTTATCCTTTGGTGGGGATGGGGCATTCAGAACCTTGGGATCCAGGCTGGAGTAAAAAAAAGTGTTAGCAGTCACCAATTTTATTCGTGCATAAAGGGAGTTCTCTGTACCTTGACCAGGAGGCTGTCGTTCGAACAGAACAAGGGGACACTACATGGTTTAAAATCAAGAAGGGAGTGTGTCAGGGTTGTATTCTTTCTCCACACTTATTCAATCTATATGCTGAGCAAATAATCCAAGAAGCTGGACTATATGAAGGAAAACGTGGTATCAAGATTGGAGGAAGAATCATTAACAACCTGAGATATGCAGACGATACAACTTTGCTTGCTGAAAGTGAGGATGACTTAAGGCACCTACTGATGAAGGTTGAAGAATACAGTCTGCAGTATGGATTACATCTCAACATAAAGAAAACAAAAATCCTCACAACTGGACCAATGAGCAGCATCACAATGAATGGAGAGAAGATTGAGGTTGTCAAAGAATTCACGTTGCTTGGTTCTACAATCAATGCCATGGAAGCAGCAGTCAGGACATTAGACAACATGTAGCATTGGGAAAGTCAACTGCGAAGGAACTGTTTCAAGTGCTGAGGAGCAAGGATATCTCCTTGAGGACTAAGGTGTGCCTGACACAAGCCATGATATTTCTAATCGCCTGGTATGCATGTGAGAGCTGGACAATGAATAAGGAAGACCAAAGAAGAGTTGATGCTTTTGAGTTGTGGTGCTGGCGAAGAATGCTGAAAGTACCGTGGATTGCTAAAAGAACTAACAGATCTGTCCTGGAGGAAGTGCAGCCAGAATGCTCCTTGGAAGCAAGAATGGCCAGACTTCGTCTCACCTATTTTGGTCATGTTGTAAGAAGGGACCATTCCCTGGAGAAGGATGTCATGCTTGGTAGGGTGGAGGGTCGACGAAAGAGGGGGAGGCCTTCAAGGAGATGGATTGATACGGTGGCTGCGATGATGGGCTCAAGTATAGCAGGGATTGTGGGGCTGGCGCGGGATCGGGCAGTGTTTTGTTCTGCTGTGCATGGGGTCGCTATGAGTCGGAAACGACTCGACGGCACTTAACAACAACAACAACAACAAAGGGAGTTAAGAGTCATTTACCCCAGGTCACACAGAGAGTGAGTGCTCTATGCATTTCCACTCACTTTAGGAGGTAAGAGTGTCCTATATTCTTGCTGCACATTAACCACAGTTGAGCCCCAGAGGGCTTCATCTATCTTGGAATATCTAGAGTTAAAGGTAAATTGTTAACCATTTTCTAGCATATGTGTCTACTGCCAAATTGATTGGAGTATGTGGTTGACTTGATTTCAATAAATCTTAAAAAATGTAATGCATATTCTATTTGTTTTGTAGCATTGTCTCACAAAATGATAGAGGACGAACTGGTACAGTTTGATAAAAGCATAAATGAATTTTGGAATAAATTCATAAACACTGTTAGTGACACCTCCTGTCAGATGATGGGACTAAGAGATGCCTACAAGGACTCCATGAAAGCATTTGCAGGTACTGAAAGTAAACTTGTAATATGCTATTTTTTTCAGTTTTTGTTTGCTTTTCAGTGTTATTTCAGCTGATTTGAAACTTCACTTTCTCTTTCAGAAAAGTTATCTGTGAAATTAAAGGAAGAAGACCGAATGGTTGAGATGTTTCTGGAATATCAAAATCGTACGTAACAAATTGTATTTCCCCGATATTTTTTTTTTTAGATGAAACACTTTTGTAATAAAATCCTTCACTGGAGCAAAAGAATGTACAATGTGTGTGTATATAAAATGTATATATATAATATATATACTGTTGTTGTTGTTATGTGCTGTTGAGTCAGACCTGACTCATAGCGACCCCTCTTTGGGTTTCTGAGGTGGTATCACTATGGAAGTAGATTGCCCAACCTTCCTTCCGAGGAGTGGCTGGTGGGTTTGAACTGCCAGCCTTCTGGTTAGCAGTCAAGTGCCTTAGGCACTGTGCTATACTAGGAATCAAAAATTGACTAGTCACCACTCAAGTACAACCAAAACAAAACAAAAACCAAATCCATTGCTGTGTAGTGAATTGTGACTCACAGGGACACTACAGTGCCGCATAGGGTTTCCAAGGCTGTAATCTTTACAGAAGCAGACTGCCTCATTGTTCTGCCAAAAGACTGGTGGGTTCTAAATGTCAGCCCTTCAGTTAGAACCTGAGTGCTTAACTGCTGCACCACCAGGGCTCCTTCCTAACAACAACACATAAAAAAACTAATAATTGTTTGTGTACCCACTACCCAGCTTGAAAAATAGAATATCCTTTTTTATACCACTTTCTTCTCTCACCTTCCAGAACTAACTTGTCAATATTTTGTTTAGTATTAGGTTCTTAATTGTTACATAAATAGCATAATAGATATTCTCTGCCTTTTATTAGCTATATATTTGTGAGATTCATTCATGTTAATGTGTAAATGCAAATTTGTTTTCTGGTTGGAAATCACAGACTGGGGATTTAAAAGTTGGAGCTCTCTCAGCAATTTGAGATAGAATTAGTATTCTGACAGCCTTTCCACATTTTTAATACCTTTCATGCCTTTTCTACCACCCTCCTAATTGTCCACAGCAGATCAATAGCTTTTATTGAATTCTCTCACAAAACCACAAACCAGTAGCCACAGTCCAAACTCCAGTGGAGACACTGAGCTTAGTGCCACAGTATTTCAAACAATATTACATTGAAATGGTTTTACACAGGGCATGTAATCTTTCATTTGCCACCATCTCCAATACTCTTTTGCCTGGCCTTTCCTAGTTTACTCACTGTCTTGTCCCTGAAGGCATTTGAGTTTGCAACCCCTAGTAGATTATTATACTAGATTCTTACCCATGTTTACTGTCTAAGCTGCCCTGAAGTTATGAAACCATTTCATAACTTCCCTTACCCCCTTCTGTGTAATCATAAGCAAAAAGGGAAACCTTTTTTTGGAGGTACATATATATGATAGAGTGTTATTGAGTTTGGATTCTTTAAACACTTAATTTGTAGAATCCCTAGGGATTAGAAAATTAAGTTTGAAATGGTCAGCTTTTAATTGTGAGTCTCAAAATATGCTCTTAAAGATTATCTGTAGTGTGAATATGTGCTCTAAATAGTCTGAAAGCATCAGTATTTTTGTTTTTAGAAAGATTATGCTTGTTCTTGTCAGATTATTCTTGATTATGAAGGTGCTCTTGTGGTACAGTGATTAAGGCATTCATCTGCTAACCAAAAGGTCAGTGGTTCAAACTTACCAGCCTCTCTGCAGGAGGAAGATGAGGTGATCTACTTCCTTAAAGATTTAAACCCTTGGAAACCCTATGGGACAGTTCTACTCTGTCTTATAGGGTTGCTATAGGTCAAAATTGACTGGGTGGTAGCAGGTTATACTTGAACAGAAGTATAATTTATTTAAGTTTAATTAGTTCAGTGAACATCTAACTGCTCACTTGGCAAACACAGAAGCAACGATGCACAATGTATAATCTATACATCACTCATAATTTAGTAGAGAATATAGACAGGGAAACTATAACCAAAATGCATAGTAATAGTTGCTATAAGCATAGAATGGAATAGGATGAGCTTAGAATCTGGAAGGTTTGATTTTTCTAGTAAGGACTAATACTTAATAGCTAACCCTTGCACATATACATACTATGTGCCAGGCTCTATTCTAAGCTCTTTGCATATATTGACTCTGAATTTTCACAACTCTGAAAAGTTTAGGTAATATTTTTACTCTGTTGAGACTATGCTAAAATTTGAAAGTGAATTTGCTAAATATTGGCATCTTTATAATTGAAAAACCAAACTCACAGCCATTGAGTTGATTCTGATTCATAGCAACCCCTATTAGGTTTCTGAAGCTGTAAATCTTTATGGAAGTAGATTGCCCCATCTTCCTTCCATGGAACAGCTGGTGGGTTTGAACCACTAACCTTCTGGTTAGCAACCAAATGTCTTATCCACTACGCCAACAGAACTCCTTATCTTTATAATTAGTTACTTAAAATCTTTCTCCAAATATCCAGTTCATATATGTGTCAAGACAAGTTTTATAATTTTCCAAATTGAGCCTGCATGTATCTTGATATAGATTATTCCTGAATATTTTGTTTGTTACCATTGTAAATGAGATTTTCCCTTTGAAGAATGCCAGTCTTGAGAGATGCAAAGGATTCTATGCTTAGTTAAATTTGGGAAACAGATCATGTATTTTTGTTTCGAAGATTCAACTATATCTATGAACACTATATGTTAGTGCCATTTTAGTTTTTATGTGTTATTTGATATGATTTGGTAGGTTATTTTAACTCTGGAAAAGCTCAAAAATTTTTTCAATATAAATTATGGTAATTACTTCTTTGCTTTGTGATGTTTTAGCTTACGAACAGTTTCATAGGAATGCTCTACTTTTGGATAGCAGGAAAAACTTGTACTGACCAATACCTGAGACAGCTACAAAAAAATGCCAATATTTTAGTACTTACAAGTAGTTTGGAATAGCAAAAATCAATATTGCAATCAATAACATTAGCATATACATTATTCTCATTTGTGTACTAATTACTGGTGTTATTTATGAAATCTATCAAGTTTGCTATTCATAAGGTTTTCCCTGGCCAATTCTTTGAGAAGTGGACAGCCTCTTCCTTCTTCCTAGTCTGTCTCAGTCTATAAGCTGGGCTGTTACCTGTGCACCAGGTGCATCTTGCTGGGTTTAAACACCAGAGGCTCAGCCTCAAAACTCA